CGCGGGTGTCGACGCGGCGCCCGAGACGACCCAACCGAATATTGTATTCTGCGCGATTGGCTGGCCGGGTGTTCCGCGGCGCAGGCCGGGACCGATCACATCCCCGTAACGATCGGCCCCGATTAAGAGATCTACAGGGAGATCTCTAGTCGGATCAGGGTCCGCAAAAACGAGGTCCTGCAGATGCGGGTATACGCGGATGTCGACGGTCGTCTTGGGCGCGTACCCGGTAAGTCTCCGGAGGACGAACGCGGAAAGCGGCATAGGAGCGTTCCCGCGCCCGGTCAACCGTAAGACCAAATCGACCCGCGAAGTCACGCGACCCACCGGCGCGTCCCCCGCACCCGTCACGGTGATAGCCGCGGGCCGCTTAGGAAGACGGAGGGCCTGGACGAGGGATTCGGAGACGAAGGTCGCCTCCGATCCCTGGTCCAACAGGGCTCTCACCGGCCTTACCCCCCCGTCGCGTGTCTCTACCCATACTAGAGCGGTCGCGAGCAGTACGGCCCTGCTCCCGCTCCAGCGTGCGACGCAGTTGTGGACCACGGACGATGCGGAGATATTCGTCGCTGTTTCCCGCCCGGGTTCTACCGCGGTTGACTCTGGCCCGCCACCAACCCCGGAATCCTGGTGAATCAGGGTGTGGTGCGAGCCGTTGCAAACGGAGCAGCGCGACGCGGAGGGACACGATGTCGCGGGGTGTCCCGAACGGAGGCAGTTGAAGCAGCAACCGCGCGCCCTAACGAAATCCCGGCGCAGGTTGAGCGCCATGCCCCTGAACGCAGGGCACCGGAACAGCGGGTGGTTGTCGCCGCACTTCCGGCAACGGCTCGCCGTCGTCGTCGTCGCCATCGCGTGGGAGCGTACCGGTGGTGGAGGTCGGGCCGGCCTACGCTCCGCGGAGGTAGCCGAGGGCTCCGGAGCCATCCTAAGCTCCGCGAAGGACCCGGCCCGATACTCCAGGAATTCGTCGAGACAGGCATACGTGGGTGGATCCACTGCGGCGCGGATTTCGTGGACCCACGCCTCTCTCGACTTCGGGTCGAGTTTTTCCACCGTTAGGTGGACCAGCAGGTCGTCCCAATGGTCCACCGGCCGCCCCAAGTTTCGCAGCTGGGCCAGTGCCTCGTTAGTGCGACGACGCAGCAAGGCGAGACCGCTGCCGTCGCGATCGCGGGTGAGCGGCGCAAGGGTCAGGAAGCTCGACAGGAGCGCACTGACGACCAGTCGCTTCCGGTCATACCTCCTGACCAAGGCCGCCCACGCGATGCCGAAGTTCGCCGCTGTCACGGAGTAGTGAGCAATCTCGGACGCTGCTTCTCCCTCTAAAGCACCCTTGAGGTACTGTAGTCGCTGGACGTCGTGAAGAGTCCGGTTCTTCACGACCAGCGACTCAAACTGGTCCGAGAAGCTCGGCCACTCCGTGTAGCAGCCGGCGAACCTCGGCAATGGGAGTCGCGGTAGCTGCGCCACGGGCGCGCTACAGGAGTCGGGCTCCCTGGTCTGGCTCGCGTCAGCCAGCGCAGACGCTCCGCACCTAAATGAAGCGATCAGCTCAACAAAGAAGTCACTCGCCTGTTCGAATTCTGCTTCGGCCCGCTCGAAGTACCCCTGCTTGAAGTAGTCGCGGGTTTCCCGTTCTTCGGCAGTGGCCTTCAGCTCCAACTGGAGGTGGAGGCGTCGGCACGCGTCCCACTCGGTCCGCAGGCGGCGAAGGCGTTCTTCGGCGGCGGCTTCTGTAAATTTCGCCTTTCCCAGGCGTTTGAAATTGGGCAGGATCCGGCAAAGCCCCCCGATGGTGAGCTCTTGCTCCTTGATGAGTTGCTCCATGTGGCCCAGCAGTGTTTTAACGGACTCGAATGCGTCGATCGACTGCGTGATCGACGCTGTTGATGGAGATGGGTTATCTCTCCTGTGTCGTCTCCGGAATCCGGCTCGAAGGACCAGAAATGTTGCGCACGGCACAAAATTAAAAACGCCGGAATTCGGGAGGAGACGACACGCGATTTATTGTATTTGGACTCCACAGTCCTTTGTGTACAAGCTTTGGAGCACGGCTCCGTTTGTCGAATTACGTGTAGCACGGCTACGAAAGAAGTATAACGTGAAGCACGGCTTCGTATAGGCGCAAGGGGCGCTAAATTAAACTTGACTGTTAATGATAACGATACTTGGAGAATCTCCCCGTTATCACATTTGCGGCAGTATATATAGACACCTGGCCGATGCTCAAGGTGACGCATCGTCAGGTGTCGAAGGCCGGTCATTGCCTCCTAAGGCAAAAACGCTACATGTATACATTCGGCCGAGGCGAGCGTTTGACGGTCGGGCCAACGCACGTCGATCGTGTTATTGTGTCGCCGCCTCGCCGTTTATTCGACAAAAACGGCGAGACGGCGTACATCGAAAGTCGAACGTGCGTTGACCCGCGGTCCGCGATTCGGCCGGAACAGACTGAATTTCTGCTACTCGGTTGGCGACGAAGGTTTTCAGGGTATGTGGAGACGCATTTAGCCAATGTAAGACTATTGTTGAGTCTGTCCAAAGGATTGTATGGTCGATCTGGATGTGTAGTGCTCTTAGGATTATATTTATTAAACCGGCAAGTAGCAATGCTCCGCATAATTCGAGTCACGGGATAGACTGACTCTTTAATGGTGTAACCTTTGATTTGGCTGCGAGGAGTTCTACCTACGTTTCACCTTGCGCATTGGTCGAACGCAGATATATACAAGCTCCGTAGGCCTTCTCGATGGCGTCGCAGAACCCATGAAGCTCGATGTCTGAAGCAGCGGTAATTACGGTTTTTCGATGGAATTTCACATTATTGAGCAATGGTAATTGTGTGTAATATCGTGTCCATTGTGTGTGTAAACTCATGGGAAGTGATTCATCCCAATCCACCTTCAGAGTCCACAGTTTCTGGAGGTGTCCACGGTTTCATGCACCTCGGACATGTGTCCAAGATCGAGATACTCCTGGATAACTGCTCGGTATTGACGTTTCAATTCTGAATTGCGTTTGAATTTTTGTTCTAATGATATGAGACATTTCAGCGCTTGCGTTTCGGATTCTCCCAGCTTAGGCTTGTTTTTGTTAAATGGAAGTGCGACAACATATCTACCTTCTGTGTTTCTTGTGGTGGCATTTTGAAAATGTTGTTCGCATGTCGCTTCTGATTCTGATAAATGCTGCGATTGTGGACCTTCTTCGCGCGAGCGCCTACAGAGACATTGCATCGTTCTTGTGACAAACGGAGTTTCTCGGTCAGATCGTCTGTCATGAAATTGGTGGTGGAGCACGTGTCAAATAGGGCACGGCATGGTATTTTTTGATGATTGACATCGACGATATTGATTTGTGCCGTAACTAATAATTCCTTGGTATCGGTATTAACTATGTATGTGTGTGCTTGGATGGGTCTGGGAATTTTCTTAGATGATAGTCAGATTGACCTTGTTTGCTCGTTGGTTGATGTCTTGTCTTCCGGAAATGATGTGGGAATCGGCGTTTCGTGTGTTGAGGATGGCGAAGTACCGATTCGTTCCTGTGCTACGTGTTCCTGTTGACGTAAGAGCGTGTGGTGTCGTTGATTGCATATTCTGCATCTAAATAACGAACGGCAGACGTTCGTGGTATGACCGGGTCGCAAACAGTTCTGGCATACAGCTATCTTAACAACCGTTTCGAACCGAGCGGTGGGAGAAGCGAGATTAAAGGTTCCGCAATCTCGAATTAGATGCGATCCATTGCAAATCGAACACTGTAGAGTTCTCGTGGTAAGATATGTCTGCGTGCACGAGATTCCTCTGGTACTTGAGTTGGGATAATTAGTTGAAAGGGTGGCGCGACTTCCGTATGTCGAGTTGGTTTTGGTGATCGCTGCTGGTGAACAGTTTGCTCGTTTTTCCAGAAATTCCAATAAATGTACTCATTTACTTACGGAGGCATATTTTTGTCCGATAAAGTAAGCTCCCATTGATAGACGGTATCGGGATTGATTTTTGATAAAATCGTAAATATTAAAAAAGAGTTCCACGCTGAAATCGGTTCGCCTAGATTCCGGAGTGCCTGCAGGTGTTGGTTTAACGCGTCTAATCGCTCAAGCCTTCTGGAGTATCCTTCGTCAATTTAGGAATATCGCGAATAGCATCGCAATGTCGGGGCAATGAAATTTATCTTTTAATATTTCTATTGCGTCGAGATAATTTGCGTCGGTGGTATTAAATGATTTAATACATGCCGCGGCCTTTCCGGTAAGTGTTGATCGTAGATATTGTAACTTTTGGACTGGTGTTAAGATTTTTTTTTTTTCAGGAGGAGGGGAATGCTTTGCGCACGCCGCCCTGGGATGTTAGTGAGCGGGAGTGTGGGACTCCCTGGTTAAAGGGTGCAAGACCAGGTATACCCACTAAACCCCTCCTCAGGCATCCGCCCTTACACAGAGCACCCACCGCGGTGTCCCCTCTCGGGATTCCTGCACGGTGGGTGTCTGGTTCACGTGACTGAACCGTTTAACCAAGGCCACGGTAAGCCTGCAGCACCTAACCTTGAGGCCCGGGTCTGCGAACCCTGGGATTGCAAGCCCTTGTACGTCGTCGCGGTTGAGAATCCCTTACCAACTGCTCACGTTGCTTGGCCACGTCCGTCACGTAAGTGACGAAGGTGCCCCTGGTCCTTTCGTCCTTGAGTATTGCCATAACATTGTTCAGAACCAGAATGCTGCCCATGGCTCTCTCGGCGGCGTCCCTCTCAGCAGCGAAGCGCCCACACCCGAGGAACGCGTGAACGGGGTCATCAGGCCCCCGCCCACATGCCAGGCAGAGGTCACTACTCGTAAAGCCCATCCTCGACAGGTACTCCGCAAAGCATCCGTGCCCGCAGAGGAACTGGGTCAGGTGGAAGCTGAGCATTTTTGGGCCCCACTGGACCCATTCGCTGATATTAGGGATCAAGCGATGGGTCCAGCGTCTATGCCTTGCAGCATCCCATCTGACCAGTCACAGCCCGAGCGTGGCAAGTCTTTCCTCAGCCTTCATCCTCCCAGCCTCCGACACGTAGCCAGCCGAGCCCCTGTCGAGGGTGGACAGCCTGCGAAAAATACGGAGCCTTTCCTCCGCCACCAACACCAAGGGCGGCACGCCCGCCAAGACGCAAACGGCGTCGAGGGACACGGTCCTGTACGCCCTGGCTACACGAGCCAGGATCGCACGTTGGACCGCGTTGATGGCCTTGTCGTTACCACACCTCGACGCCACGTGCGCCCAAGCAGGGGCCGCGTAGAGGACCACCGACTCGACCACCCTATAATAGAGTAGCCGAGCCCAGTAGCCCCCGCCCCGGATATTGGGGAGGATTCTTGCTGGCAGGCCCGCGTATCTAGCTGCCTTCTCGCAGTTCCGCCTGACATGTGCGCGGAAGCACTGATTCCCCTCAATCAGCAGTCCCAAGTAGCGCACGCACCCGCTGCCTCGAAGAGACGCCGAACCGATGGCCAGTTGAAGGGCCTCGGGAGCCTTCCTGCCGGTCAGGTGCAGGACCTCGGTCTTCTCCTCCGCCAGCTCCAGGTGATTATCTCGCAAACCATGCGTGGATGCGGGCGAGCGTTTGCTCGGCCAACGCAACCACGCGTTCGGCACTACGCCCGCCGACGAGAAGGGCGACGTCGTCCGCAAACCCCAAAACACTACAGTGCCTGGGAAGAGGCATCTCGAGGAGACCATC